GGCCCCCGCCGCCCTGAACGCACCTCCGCGGCGGCGCGGCAGTCAGCTCTCTCCCGCTTACTTCGCCTTCTGTTCCCCTCCTCCCTCCCGCTCTGCTTTCCCATTTAACAAAGCGGCACAACTGAAAAAGTTACAAAACGTTTCGACAGAGTCTTGCTCCTTCGCTAGCGGACACGTCCTCGGTTGCTGAGGCCTGTTCCAGGCAAAGGAGGATTTCAGTTTTAAATAGGGATGGGTTTGGAGATTGGCTTTGTTTCCTTCTTAATATTTTTCAGAGATGGCTATTTATTTCTGCAAAACCAATTTGCAGCAGACTAGCTAAGCAAACAGGCTTGACAAATGTCCAGCTAGAAAAGGCTCTTTCCTAATCCTTCAATAGCCCCTGCCAATTTTTTTTCTTCCACAGGCACTAGAGAGAAAAACAAATCAAGAAAACATTATGCAACTTTCATTGCACTTGTATTGATATCTACTTGTAAATGAGCCTACCAATTTTAGTAGTAAAGCAATTACCTTTGTTCAGCTTTCCTTCACAGGAAAACCCTAAAACTGTGTAATGTTTCACTTCTGTTGATCTTATTTAGTTTTCTTAGAATTTGTTTTAATATCGGAGATCAGCAAAACACAGATTAACATGACAACAGTACTCTGACTTATCTGACAAATGAAAAGAGGACTATGAATTACTTCTGTTTTCTCACTAATGTGAAATTTTTGAATTGAATTTTCAGTTATAATGAGCTGCAACTGGACACAATGAAATCAGTGCAGTCTTCTGTTGCGGACAAGCAACAGTAAGTTGGAGAAGCAAGTCCAACATGCCCTTACCGATATTGTTTAGCTTGTGAGGAATTATCAAGGAATGCACTTTGCAACTGGTAAAGACCATTTCAGCTCTAAAACTGAACAAAACAAACCCCCAAACCCTGCACCAATTCCCACACTGATCTACCCAGCGACAGCAACTGGACCAATACCACCTGTCATTACCCTTTTAGCTGGAAAACACCAAAGGTTCCCAGCCTACAGGAAAGTTGGTTATCAGTCCAATTCTCAAAGAGATTAAGGTAAAATTGAAAAGGAAAGCATTTACATGGGAAAAAAAATCCCTCTATAGGGGTTTACTCTAAGATAAGTAGCTGTTGTATAAGAGTCATTGTGCCATATTTGTACAGGTATGGACACAAACATATTCTCGCTATAATGAGCTCTCCTGCTACCACTTATCAGCACATCTCTGGTAACCACACGCATTAGCATACTTACTCTGCTGCAATGGGAAGGCTAAATATGTTGGTCTAAACCTTAGTGAAGATGGCAAACGTCAATATTTTAGTTTGCATTAAGGGTCAGGTATTTTGGCTCAACCAAGTGAGCTGCTAAACTACTACTTATGGGTTAAACAATTTGCCTATTCCCGTCAGCACTGGTAGCCCTAGCCCCTTAAGCTTAAATCAGGGCAAACCCCTCCTGGACACGTATCTTGGTATAGTTTAAACAATTTATAATCAGTCATTTTGAGATCAGTTGACCTCAAGCTACTCTTAAACCAGAGGAGCTGACAGTGGACAGAATTTGTATGCTTTACAAATTGTATTAAATTAATTTCTGTGTCTATCCTTAACAGGTTAGGTAGAGCTAAACTATCGAGCACCAAGTTTACCATATGCTAGCTATCCCATAAAAGTCTTTTTATGTAAACTTGCACTGCAACACAGGTGAAGGACCTTACTTTCGCACAGTTATACGGACACACCATAAATTCATGCTCAAAGTTGTTTGTGCTTTTATACCGTAAATTTACAGATATTTTCAAATATGTTATGCCCCTGGAAAAAGTGCATGTTTTAACATATCGGGTAATGGGTTACCTGACAAGTTTGTTAGCACAAACAAAACAAGCTGCAATTTAATAATAGCTGGTCAAAGTAATAATAATAAATTACTCTCAGTACTTTTCCCTACTGTTCACGTGACCCAAGATGCAAGCTAAGATGCACGAAGTCATATTAGCCAGCCTTGCTCTTCCTAAGAGCTTCAAACACAGAATTGTACTTTCACTCAGCTGAAAGATGTGAGATTTAATTCTTTTAATGCAAAAGCATATTAATTGCCATAAAAATTTAGTAAGGACAAAACTGTAATATTTACTGCAGCAGTCAGTCATGGTCCAACACCAGTCACGCTGACTATTACTTTGCCATAAAAACCGCCCATGAGTTGCCTCCAGTAGGATTATACAATGAGCTAGGAACAACTTGGGATACGGCTTCACCGTCAGCAGCAATTCTAACCGAAGCTGTTCCCACTCCTTGACTCTTACTGCCAGCCTCTGAGCTGTAGTGGTTCAACTGTATGTTGGCTCTCATTGCGAGCAACACCAGCAGACTGATCTGGCTACACAGTAACCCAGCAAGCAGCAGTGCGGCAGGACACAAAGAGAAGGGAAGGAGACTGCCCTGCCCTGATTCACACATCTCCACAAACGTGTGGCACCATAACGGCAAGGCAGAAACTTCAAGCCAACACTTCTGTCAAGTAAATGTACGTGGAAAAATAGAATCAGTTGTCTCTCACGAAAGAGACAAATTTTTTTAAGCAACAGAAGCTATGAATTTAATGCTTATTAAGATAAAAGCTTATGGCTACATGCACGTTGGACTGTTTTCTTCCAAACTCGAGACTGATTAACTCAAGGATTCAACTATCTTCAGTTACTCATGATACATGTAGAGAAGCATGCCTCACCTGTGCACCTATGGCATTTGAAATGTTCCAATTTAAATTTACATTCAACACATATTCAAATATAAGAGATGGACCTCACAACAGAAGTGTCATTTGTTTACAATAGCTAAATCATACTTCTGATTTGGTACTTCATTGATTTTAACATTATCATTTTGTATATTTTAAGAAGCACAAAAATCTATCCATCCTTTTCAGACATTTGCTTCTTCTTCAGAACTTCCCTGGGCCTGCAGTTTTCAAGACCTTTGACTTCAATGGTTGCCTAATAATAACATAATAATATCATAATAAGGACTTGAGATTAAGCCCTAAGTAGCTATCTACAAAAAGACAATAAGCAGAAAAGGCAACTCAAATATTTTTCCTTAGCTTGGCAACTCTGCTAAAATGTAAAGGCCATCTACCTTCTAGCAGCCTTTTTACAAATCAACTTGAACCACTCTTTTCTGTGAATACAGTTTCTCTATTACTTCTGCTTTTCATGTCAAAGCAGATATTAGAAAGTAGTTGTTAGACTTTTTTTTTTAAATGATGTGAGGGTTTTTGGAGTTTCAACAGCACATCGTAGAGGCAAGAAACATGTCATGCATTAACTACATATTCATGTTAACATAGTATTCTAAGTCCAATTTAAAGCCATTACATCTAGAATTTCATATCCAGTAAACATGCTAATCAGTAAATACAATATGAATAGTAACAGAAGTCAGGTAACTGAAATGGCTTTCTTAACATAAAGCATCATATCTGTCTGTACTTAGGGCTTTGACATTTTGGCTAATATTGCTAAGAAGACTCAAGGTCTCTCTCTCCTCTGTTGTCTTTCCATCTTTCAGCCAAAGGTCACCACCTCTGTGACAGAGATGGCAGAACAGGACATTCCAGTGCAAAGCCTAGCATCATGCTTAACTAACTGATGAATGTGAATTTGAGGTAAAAACACCGGACAAGTCGGGGTGAATGTCCTTCCAGCCTTTTTACCTATATGGTTGATACCCGCCAACAGAGCATCAGCATAGACAGCTCAAGTAAACTACCTCACAAAGAGCCACCAGATCTTGTCCACTAAAGTAATTTTAGCACAACGCAAACAGTGATGCCAATGGAGAAACAAAGAGTATCTCAGGTTAAAGATAGCATTTCTGAGAAAATATCTGAAATAAAAAAACCCAGCTCTTTAAATTCCACACTATCTCTAGAAAATTCAAATGTCTTACTCACTTCTTTACTTCCCTCATTCCCAACAGAACTATTTTACCTGGCATTGAATTAGCAGGCATGTGGTGCTTTCTTATACAAATGCTGTAGAGGAGACTAGAGTCTCATGACCTGTGTCCGTCTTACACTGCTGCTGAGTGCTGGTATGAGTAAACTCTCCTGCATGACTGAAATGACGTGTAGTACTGTTTACCCAGCTCTGCAACTTACGTGCACTAGAAATGGAAATAAAGGGGTGAATGAATGAATTTAGGAAGGACTTAAAAAAAATTAGACGCATAGAACGAACGGACTACAAGTTGGAAAGAAAACGCAAGAGAAGAAAAGGTAGAAAAGTAGACTATACCTAAACACACGTGCGCTATAGGGAAATGATGCACTGCTAATAATACGAATTGTTAACTGCTAGCACAGGCACGACAAAACTTTTTGCAACAGTATTACAAAAACTATGACGGAAATCCAGTGAGAAATCAAATTCTGACATATTTTCTATACAGTAATCATAATAACCCTAGCCTTTTCTACCAGATGAACTTTAAAAAATACCTT